TCTAGTAGGAGATTCTTGTAGTAATCCAGGTGAAAAACCTTGGTGATTTAACCAGGGACTCTGAAGGTAAAGAATATATTCTACCATAACTATTGGCTATGTCCAAGAGGGTAGTCGAGCTAAAATTATAGTAGATGGATTGCATTCAGTCTGGGTGAGGGAATGGGAGGTTCTTCCTCCTTAACTTCATTTACAAAACTGTACAGTATGTTCAACTTAGATTTCATTGGTTAAAAAAAATGGCTTAGTACAGTACAAGTCATTCAACCATGGCTTAAGGAAAGGTAGATAGAGAATGGAACCTGACATATGTAAATTGCCTCAATCCCATTTTGAACACCCAGATCCTATCAGTGCTATGAAGCCTAAATTAATTACATCAGGAAAGATTCAAACCAAATGCTATCTTATAAAGCAGCAATTATACATCACAAAGGTAAATATGTGAGATATATACGGTATACTATATGTATCGGTATGTATATATGTGTATGTATGTTCACCCACACCCACACACAGAATGAAATCTAAGCTGAAAATACTGTACAGTTTTGTAAATGAACTTAAAAAGGCAGAATTTCACATTTCCCTGCCCAGACTGAATGCAATATACAACATATACAGTATATCCCCAAGTGCTCTGACCATCACTGGGACCACTTCGGCCTTGATTTTCCACATCCTCTCCGGCTCCTTCTTCAGGGTCTTCTTCAGGGCCCCAGCTCCTCATATTCCTTAGTTCTGATGTTGCTGTCACTTGGCATCGTTCGGTATAGGCTGTTCCTGCCCTGCTACTATCTCTTGGACTGTGTCTAAGGCTTCTCTGCATAGTCTGCAGCCAGGATTCTGTGTAGTGTGGTAGATTCCCACTTCTTTTTTATATATATATATTTTATTGTTAGAAAGTTATAATATAATTCCACCTTTCCGGTTTCATGGTGTTGATAAACACATACATATACATAATATTTACTTATTATTTACATGGTATTGCCTAATTATCTTAATTTAAAAAGTACTACCTGTAGGAATTCTTACTTATATCATCCTTAATACGTATTATTACGTATTAAGGATGATATAAGTAAGAATTCCTACTTCTATTGATCTGGTGCTTAATGCCGTTCTTGTGCTGCCATGATCAGTGCCTCAGTGCCACCTTTTAGTCCAGCACTTTGGTAGGATTTCCTAATATGTACCCTGTTTCCCCCAAAATAAGACATCCCCTGATAATAAGCCCAATCGGGCTTTTGAGCGCATGGCAATAAGGCCAAGCACTTATTTCAGGGTTAAAAAAAAAATATAAGACAGAGTCTTATTTTCGGGAAAACACAGTACCATCTCTGCTATCTGTCAATGGTATATCCCATGCAGGATCTTGTCTTGCCATGGCACTTCCTCTACTTGATTTTCCTCCTATGTCTGCTGCTGCTGCCTCAGGCATTCTCTCAATAGCTCATCTTTGGGTGCCATCTTATTGATATATTCCTGGATACTCTGGGTTTCATCCAGGACAGTGGCTTTGACACTCACCAGACCTTCTTTCAAGCTAGTATACAGTCTCTGAGTGTTGGACTTCAGGTGGAAAGATTTGTACATTGGGAGGAGCTTCCAGGTGTTCACATCAGCAATTTCTATGTTCTTCTTTGGCCAGCTCATTAGACCAGCAGAGTATCTGATGACTGGCAGGGCATACATTTGATGGAATGGATCTTGTTTTTCCCATTGAGCTGGCTCTTCAGGACCTATCTGATCCTTTGGTGATACTTGAATGTTGCAATCTTCTTTGCCTCCTCCTCATGGTTCCCATGTTTCAACTTTCCATGTTGTGGGGTGGCAGGGTTATTGCCTGGTAGTTGGACACTGTTGTTCCCTTGTGTGTGTTTTTCATGATCAGCACTATCCTTCCTTGGGATAGCCAGTCTGGGTGGAAGCGTGCATATAGGCATAGAGGTAGATGTAGATACTGATCCACACACATACACATACAAAACATTTTAATCACATTTTCATTGTTTTAACAGGGATAATGAAATGAATGCACTTGGATTCATACTATACTATTTTTTTTGCGTGAGAACAATGCAGAATATAAACATATCTGAACACATGAGTCCAAATTTAGGCTACAGTGAGGCTTTCTCTTGATACAGACTATTAAATGGATACTTTAAATCTACATTTGTGGCGGTAGCACACTGAAACCAAGTCAGTTAAAGTTTTTCTTTTTGCTTTGGGATAGATAAACATAATTGGTTTTATAGATTATAACATTCCCCTCAAAATGCAAAAAGAGAAGGGATATAATAAACAAGGATTTCGATGCATCAGGCATAAACACAGCAAGGCTAATTGGACTTACATTTTTAAGAATAATAATTTTAATAATATAATCCAAAAATGGCCAACCTCCGTAACCCCTGCTGAAATCAACTTTTAAAATTTAAGCCATGATGTGCCACTTAAAGGAATGAACAGGTGCTTGGCAAAAGAGCTCATGTTAAAATAAAGAGCTTTGGGTTGCTATTAATTATTGGATGATTTTTATATGATTTTACTCTGAAACATGAGTTTGGTTCCATCTGCATGTAGTTGCATCACTGACAAGGCAATTCGTCATTGTTTTATATCCTTTCCATTTCTCATATGCCTTCCAAGCAATACTTTGATAGTTTCTCACCACCATCGCCAGCAAGTTTAATTTAATATTTTGGTAGATGGAGTCGATAGAAATACATGATACTAACATCTTCAATGCAAAGTTTAATCTGGAATATATTCGTTTCCATACAATTTAAGCTAGGGCAGCTATTTCTAATTACCATCTATGGGCTTCTGTAAATTGCATAGCTAATCAGAAATAATTACTCAAATATATTTTGAGTGCTGTCCATTTCCATCAAACTATCCCAATGACTGGCAGATAAAAGGATGTTTTCATCCTTTACTTTTTAATTAGACTTCTATAAGGAGCACTGATAATCAGCTGATGTTTCTAGAACTACCTTCCACAATCAATATTCAAGAAAGAGTAGTTACATTGCTAACAACAAGAAGCACAAACAAAGGATATTCAGCTTTCATATTAAACCCAGGAAGTTATGGGACAAAACATTCTGGAATACCGCTCATTTCTCAGTATAAGAACTTAATTCAATTCTTAAAATGTGTTGTTAACACAGCAGAAACAAGTCTTGAAGAATCCTTTAATTAACCATAGTTTATTCACATTCAAACTCTATTTTTGTTATACAGTAGCAACAAGCAATTCCAAAATAAATTATTGCTATTTATTAAAAAAAAAATCTCTTTTTTAATAGAAATGTAAAATGTTATGTCTCATATGTTTTAGGTACAGTATATATTAAACCAAGAAAAGGTGGGGAGGCTTTTTTGGAAGGGGGAGGTCTCTATAATGTTTGCTTTTTAAATTTTGTTGTCATTTTTATTTTCAAAATTTTGTTCATTGTTATATGTTTCAATAAATATAATGATATAGTAAATATTTTAAATGAGATTTTTAGCACCTATACACATTGTAGGAGGATAATTCTGTTGGGCTATCATAAAAAAAAAATCCAGAAGGGGTCCAATAATACCTTTTCCAACTAACAAATCTTATGAAAAGATAAGTTTTTGTGAGCTGCAACTCACTGCATCAGCTGCATAGAATAGCTAAACTGATTAAATATAACAGATATATAACAGTAACAGAATTGGAAGGGACCTTGGAGGTCCTCTAGTCCAACCCCCTGTTGATGCAGGAGACCTATACTAGGGATTCGAACTGCTGAACTGCCGACCTTTCTAATCGACAAGCTCAGCGTCTTAACCCCTGAGCCATCTAGCCAGGCAAATATAATTGTAGATATGATTGCTGTGTGGAATATCACTCCCTTATACCGTTTTATCTTTATCTTTTTCTCTTTTTTCTTATTTTCTTCTCTTTTTTTTTTCTAATTGCACTTTTAGCTTTTTTGTTATTTCTCTCCTTTTTGTTTCTCGGTTTTAATATAGTTTGCACTAGTTCTTATTACTGCTCTTTAAACTTTTAACAAAAATTACTCGCACACACTACATCTAAAATCTAAACTGTGATGAGACAATTGGGGGGAGAAGACCATTTTTCTAACCAAATGCGAACAATATGACATCATTCCTAAAGATCTGAAAGTGAAGAACCCTCTGCAGACCTCATAGGGCTGAGCCTTTCCTATCCCCTGGTCTCCTCTCACTTTATGTGCATTTATGGCTAAGTGGATTCTTTACCTCTGGCATCTCCAAGGCTGCTCCAGAGAGATTATTTCTCTAGGACTGGTGAGTAAAGGATTGGATTTCCTATCTAGTATGTTCCGCAATTCCAAATGCCAGAATATTACAAGAGCCTTGGTAGTACTAGGGTTTAAGGCACCCTGTTATTAAGCTGCTTAAGACCAGCTGCCTGCAATTACTGCAGGGTTCGAATCTCGCCAAGGCTCAAGGTTGACTCAGCCTTCCATCCTTTCTAAGGTAGGTGAAATGAGGACCCAGTTTGTGGGGGCAATAAGCTGACTTTGTATAAATATACAAAAGGATGAAGGCTATTGCTGAGCACATTGTAAGCCGCCCTGAGTCTTCGGAGAAGGGCGGCATATAAATCAAATTAAAAAAAAAAAAAATTACTTAAAAAACAAAGCTGCTTTATATTACCTCAGAAGCATTTTGATTCCAAAACTAATCCTTGTTGCTAAACTTTATGGGCATTAGCATATCCTAATTGTAAATTTTCTGCCACTTTGGCAATTGCTCTCTGTTGCTCTAACTATGTAATAAGTAAGAAGTCCATGCTACCCAGGCAAACCATAGCACTTAGTCTCCACAATCTGTTCTTCCTAATAATTGCAGTTTGTCAACCGAAACTGGTGCGAGTATCAATGGGGCTACAAGTTTTCTCTGCCTCCTCCATAAGGGCGAATCTGCTTCAAGAAAACAAATCCCATGATAAGTATGTACACAAAATGCACAATACTGCAATTTCTTTATTTAGGATTGCATAAAGAAGGTGGTTTGTGCAGCATCACTCCCATAGGTAGCAGTCACACCCTGATGCATCAGCAAGCTTTGGGAAAAGAGGTGTTGCAAGATCCTGAAGTCATTTTATATTCCCAAGACTGAGGTGTAGAAACATCTCCAAAATTCAAAGTTGCATCTATAAACTGAGGAAATGGGGACATTACTGTAGTGCCTATGCAACAAACAGGGTACAGTATATAAATACTTTTATAATATGAAAAAAACATTGCTTCAGCAGCGGGAAGTGTATATTGCAAAAGGGTCCATGCACATATATATTTTTTTTTATTTGTCACAGCTGGAAACCTAAATCCTTCTGACTTTTGTGGAGAAGAAGGCAGAAAAAAACAGTGACATGATGGCAGGGTTCCAATATCTCAGGGATTGCCACAAAGAAGGAGTGAAGCTGTTCTCCAAAGCACCTGAAGGCAGGACAAGGAGCAATGGGTGGAAATTAATCCAGGAGAGAAGCAACCTAGAACTAAGGAGAAATTTACTGACAGTTAGAACAATTAATCAGTGGAACAACTTGCCTCCAGAAGTTGTGAATGCTCCAGCATTGGAAGTTTTTAAGAAGAGGTTGGACATTTGTCTGAAGTGGTGTAGGGTTTCCTGCCTGAGCATGGTGTTGCACTAGAAAACCTCCAAGGTCCGTGGTTCAAGTTTTATAAAATGTGATTTTGATTTGGATTATATTCTGTGGAAGTCCTGGGGGGAGGGGAGGGCTAGGGAGGGTTAGGGGGGTTAGGGAGGGTTGGGGGGGGGGAAATTGGGGAGAAAATGTATTTGTAAAACTTTTCCAATAAAAAAAAAAAAGAAAACCTCCAAGGTCCCTTCCAACTCTGTAATTCTATTCTATTCCTTTCACTTCTTCCCTGTTCCCTCGTAGAGCAAGTTTTCATTTAAAAGAAAGGTCAAGGAAGCTCTCTGCATTTACAGAAAATCTATACTTAGCTGCTGATTGGATTCATGCATTGCACTAAACTATAATACGGTTTCCTTTTGGGTTTATTGTTATTTGTAAATTGTGGTTCTCATTCAATGTGATATATTAACTTAATGCTTCTTAACCTTGGCAACTTTCAGATGTGTGGACCAACTCCCAGAATTCCCCAGCCAGTCATGGCTTCCCTGGGACCTGAAGTTCATACATCTCACGTTGCCAGAATTGAGAAACATTGGATTAACCCAACAAATTGTAATTTCTTTGTGTGAGAAAAATGCATTTAGTGGTATGGCCTCGTTTTTGAAGCAGCACCTCACATGTCCCCCCGCACTTCTGGGCACTTTAATACTGATGGCAAATGCCCGCAAGAAAGACCAGAGCAATGGTGGCAGGATACAATTAATGTGGACATTAAAATTCCACAGTTGCACCCAGTTGTTGCATACAATCACAGCAAAATACACGTGGCAGTACTAATCTTACCCAGAACCCTGTCCACATCCTCGGGAGCCACAGGATCAAACTCCTCCCAGATAATATTCTCAAGACCTACCCTCGTCTCCTCCCCTGGACTCATTCAGTCGAGGTCCAAGCCTTCCCGAATCCTAGCGACTTTATCATGCAGGAATTGCACAAAATCCTCAGCTCGACCCTTCCCGCACTCCCCCCCGAAGAAGGGAGTGGGTCACCCTAAACAGAGCAGCTGGGCGGTTCTCTGCAGATGCGATAAGAGCGGAAAAATGGTTAGATTTCACCATTTTTATCGCCACTAGGTAGGTCTTGATATAAGACCTCACCAGTGTCCGGTCGGAATTGGATTGACTAGTCCTCCAAATGCTCTCTAGGCATCTTTCCAATGCTTCATCTCTCTCAGCTCCTCAGAGAACCAAGGAGCCAATTGAGATCGGCATCAGGTCAGAGGCTGCAAAGGCACGACACGGTCCAAAGCTCCGGCAGCCGCACTTTCTCAGGCAGCCACCAGGTCTTCGGTTGGGTCGTGTGCCAGGGTCTCAGGAAACGGCCCAAGCTCCATCAGGAACCTTTTGGGATCCATCAGGTGCCTGGGACAGAACCATCTGGTCGGTTCCATCTCCCTGCAGCGGGGGGAAGCGGCTGGAAAGTCCAAGTGAAGGAGCGAATGATCTGTCCATGACAAGGGTTTAATGTCTAGATCCCCTCTACCAAGATCATTCAACCACTGACCAGAGACGAAAATCAAGTCCAGAGTGTGTCCCCCTATGTGAGTGGGGCCTTGAACTAACTGGGTCAGGTCCATGGCTGCCATGGAAGCCATGAACTCCTGAGCCACCTCTGACACCTCACCTGCAGATGGTAGGTTGAAATCCCCCATGACAATAAGTCTGGGGGTATCAACCGCCACCCCGGCAATAATGTCGAGCAGCTTGGGCAGGGTCACCGCCATGTGGCAGGGAGGCAGGTACGTAGTCAGCAAACCCATTTGCACCCCATGGCCCCACTTCACAAAAAGGGACTCACATCCGGCTATCTGAAGAACAGTGGTCTCCCTCGGACAAAGACTTTCCCTAATAATCGCCGCCACTCCCCCACCCCTCCCCTGAGCCCTCGCCTGATGAAAAGCATGGAAACCTGGTGGTCACATTTCAATGAGGGGGACCCCCCTCTCCTGGCCCAACCAGGTCTCCGTAATACCTGCCAGGTCCACATCCCCCTCCAAGATAAGATCAGAAATGAGGGGGGCTTTATTAACTACCGACCTGGCGTTACATAACATCAGCCGAGGACCCAGGGCCTGAGACTCTGTGCAACCCAGGACACGAGCCACGCCTTGGGGGCTGGAATGCGCAATCGCTCGAAGACAGCGCGTGTGCACCCCCGTAACCTGATATGGCCCCCCGCGCCCGTCATACCTGCCCCTCCCACTTATTATTTCAATTGAACTGCCCTTCCTTTCGCCCCCCGGCTCCCTGGTCAGATTACCCTCCTCAACCCTTCCTTATTAAATACTTAAATACTTTGTTCGTTACATACAGTAGTTTTGGGTTCCCTTTGTTTGAGCAGTGTATAAACTACTTTATGTAAAGAACAAAGTATTTAATAAGGCTATTTCATTCATTCAGATCTCGGATGTCTTATTTATTTATTTATTTGTTTATTTATTAAATTTATTTGCCGCCCCTCTCCGTAGACTCAGATTGCTCACAATACATTGTAAAAAAACCATTCTAAAAACATTTAAAAGATTTAAAAAACATTAAAAACCTTAGAACGCATACACACCATTCATGGCCAGATCTCACCAGATCGCAAAGCGAGATCAACGGCCCCAGACCTGTCGGAAAAGCCAGGTCTTCACAGCTTTTTGGAAGGCCAGTAGGGTGGGGATGGTCCAGACCTCAGGAAGTAACTGGTTCCAGAGAGCTGGGGCAGCCACAGAGAAGGCCCTCCCCCGCGGGCCTGCCAGCCGGCATTGTTTAGCTGACGAGACCCGGAGGAGACCAACTCTGTGGGATCTTACCGGTCACTGGAAGCTATGCAGTAGAAGTCTTCTGCTTGTGTTCCCTTTATTTTTTTGAGCAGTATATTATGACCAATATATTATAAATTGTCTACACTCAGAATATGATCTGTACATAATACAGACATTAATCCCAGTTGGGGAACTGCAGATTATCTTGCCTACCACAGTAGAAAAAAAAAGGGATGTAAATATTATAAACTTCAATCCAGAAATGATTTCCTCTCAAATTCTAGTCTAGTCCAAAAACATTAGAAAGATGTAGAAAATAATTATTTATTAAGGTCACTATGTCTCAAATACCATTAAGTGTTCTGCCCCAGCTCCGGATTCCCAAGGATTGTGACACACGCCAACGGTCCTTATCAAAGTTATAACGTACCAAGAATAAACAAAGTCCGGCAAAGGTTGGCAACCAGCCCAGAAAACAAGATACGATAAGACACTCACTCTCCAAAATGCTCTGTAATAATTACACGTTGTTTCCAACAAGAAATTACTAACTGTGTGCGACTTAAATAGGCTAAGGGAGTGGCCAATTATCCTCAAACCTTACTGTCGAGGAGACTCCTGCCTTTTGGTAGCCCTGCGTGCTCAAGCATTGAGGAGAGGCTCCTCCACTTCACTCTCTCCACTTGAAGAAGCCTCTGGAGGTTCTGAAGGCTCTGGCTGAGTCTCTGCCTCTGGCACCACATCCTCTTCAGCCTCCTCACTGTCCGACGCGAGCGCCGGCTGCGCAGGCTGCTGGCACGACCCCACACCAGCCTCCTCGTTGTCAGGATCAGCCACGATCCGCGCAGGCTGCTGGCGGGCCACAACATTAAGTAAGAAAGAAAAAAGGCTAAACTCAAAATAGAAAAGTCTAGTGACTGTAGAGTCTCTTCAAGCAATAGGTAATTAAAGGACATTTAACCAAAGAATGATCTCTAATTAAACAAATACAAAAATAACCTCCCGAAAACAAAAAAAAAATCTGTATTCTGAACAATGCTTAAGGAAATCAGAAGGAAAAGGTAATTTACTATGTAGATGTCCAAAAACTCCTGGAAATCTAGATATAGAATTTAAATGTTTGTGATGTTCAAGTGGGAGAAGGGTGAGACAAAGGATCCAAATTGTACTATTCAAGTGTGTGCATCCACCCAAGAGAGAATACAAAAACGGCACACTTAACTCTGAGTAGCCAAGTATAAGTGTACTTATGGCCGGCTTAAAATTAACTAAGGCAACTTGAATTTGAACTAAAGTAATAAGTAACTTAATTTAAGTGATTACTCATGACATACTTAATTTTTCATTTCTACTTCTAATTCGTGATGCAATCATTTGTAATACAAATTAGGATTTGGGGGCAATTTTGGGAGAAAGGCCAAGGCTTCAACCAATGATTTAGAGAGCCATATGTGCTTTGGGACCACAGGACATGCAACCCTCTTCGAAGAGTCTAGAAGTTGTCCTGATGTGAGTGGGACTTGCTACTAAAAAACTGGACAACATGGAAGGGATCTCTTTGTGTTGAAGATATAATATTATTAATTAGAATACCAATTATTATTAAACATGTTTTATTACAACATTTATTTTACTTCCCCCTTTTAAAAAGCTGGCTTAAACTAACCAACATGAATATTTAATGTAAGACAATTTCAGTCAGAAGTCATGGTAGTTGTTAAGTGACATGCCCACATGATCACATCACT